TATATATATATATATATATATATATATATATATATATATATATATATAAAATAAGCGCTATATTAGCTCACATTTTTCATAACATAGTGATATATATATATATATATATATATATATATATATATATATCACTATGTATATCGACCGTTTATTTATTTATTACTAAAGAAATAACTTCAAATGTACACGACAATCCTGTTGACATATTCCGTCCAAATATTTTATCTGAGAAACATGTAATATAATCATGACGTAGCTATTCTATAAAACTATGGCTTCAATAGTAAGGATGGAATTTATCATCTAGTGAATGATTGACCGATTAATCAAGTACTATGCATTAATCAAACGATGACTCTACTCGTAGATTCTATTCGTAGGAGGGAACAGAAGGTCATAATAGAGAGTCTCTCCTGACTTATTGCTTTAAGAAGCAAAGGTTTATCACGCATGTGTATGTGTGTGCATGTATGTATGTTCTGTTATGTGCACGTTTGGTCGAAAATGGATAGAAATTTACGATTCTCTCGAACTGTTATTCTTAAATCGACCTTTTTTACCCGTTCGTTATATATATAAAGTTTTCTTTCGTTTCAGTTTTCAATGTATTCTTCGATAAACTTTTGGTCGTTCCGAGATTCGTATTACTTGTCGTTTTTTACGAATGAATTTATAGACAAACCTTTGACGTATCAATGGGTTTTCTCTCAATTTTTTACCAACGGCTTGTCTAGCGAGGATATTCACGACGTGTCTTCCGATTGTTCTCAATTCTAGATCCCGAAGTGCAAAATCCGCGACGTTGAGTGTCGAGAGAAAAGACCTCCATGTTGCCATAATGCCCCCTTCGAAAAATATAGAGCAAGTGAAATAATAAATCTCGAAACGATAAAAAATTTACCAGAGGATGTTGATATTTTTTGATAACATGCATTTGTCTTAGCTATATTACGATTACCCACACAGCAGGAATGTCCTAAATATATCATAAGGATATTTTGAAGATATCGCATATCCCAAATATATCTTCAGGATATCCCTGATATATTTTGGACACATCTGCTGTGTGGATACCTACTTTCGACATTTAATAACGTAATAACATAGTGATTGGAGAATTCCCTCATAGCATAAGATCTTGAAGGGATATCTTGAGAACTTGTGTGGACATTTAGAAGTCCTCGGAATATTTTTAGGATGTTTTGAGGATTTATGCGGACATTTAGCCATCCTCTGAATGTCTTTGGGACATCTTTTAAATCTTGTGCTATGTAGGTTATCATCACGAACGAAACAAAAATAGACCATAAATTTGTGTCGCGATACACGATATTTGGACTGCACGAACGTTTCTTTTTTGTTTAATTCCGAGTGTAGAAAGTAAATAGGAACAATTTGAAAGAACTATTGCCATCTTACGCTCATGTAGGCATTCTTCTTAATTACACGTCCGACGATTAAAACCGGCTAGGTTTAGCTCCGTCCCATGAGGATACAAAAGTGGAAAAGAAAGGTACAAGTGTAGAAAAGGTGTGATGAAAAGAGCACTTTGGTTAACGTCCCAGCGCACATCGATGGAGGCGCTCGAGTCGACCGTGTCTCGAGAGCCCCGACGTTGTCGCAGCACAGCGCGACTAGGCGCGGCGTGGCGCGACGCGACGGCGGACGGTCGCTAATTATCAATGGCGCGATGACGCGACGCCGTACAAATGGCGGGTAATGAAACAGCTGTTCACGCCGCCGCCGGCTCGACATCTAGCGGAGCGCGGGCGCGATCCGGCGCGCGTCGGCGACGACGTCGACGTAGAGTACGTCGCGGCGAGGAGGACCGTAGACCGCCGAGGAAGACCACCACGACGGTGCTCGCGGGTGACCTGTCGAGGAGGAACATGGCCGCTGGCTGCTGCGGCGCGAAGAAGCAGAGGCTGGGCGGTACGTCGAACCTATCGCCTTGCGACGGCAGCGTTGTCGCGCGACACGGCGCTCCTCAGCCGAGGAAGTGTACGATCGCCCAGCCGGAGATGGGTTTCTTCTGCTTCGACGTGCTCTACTGCCAGCTGCACCAGCTGGATCCGCCGAAGACGCCCAACTTCAGCAACGAAGCGTTGTGAGTAGCCCTCGCGGTATCCTACCTCTGTGTATATGACGTGCCATCTATCCGTCTCTGTGTTTCTCTCTCTCTCCCCTCCCCTTCTCTCTCTCTCGTTCGCGTAGCACGACCGCGGTCTGTCTCACTCGCGCGTCGCGTCAGCTGTTGTCTTCGTTTATCTCCGATGACGCGTCGTCTTTATCGTACGCGCTTTGTCGCCGAGTCGCGATTAGAGATTACGATTGCCTGTGCGATTTCTGACGTCGCTTGATGTCAATTTTCCACGTTGGCCCTTGTACACAGGCGAGACGCATTTCACACCTCTATTGCCGTCCTTTTGTTTTCGTATCTTACAAGCTCCGCATTCGCCGAGTCGACCTTCAACGCTTGACATTCGACCCCGCGAATAAATCTACTACCTGTGTAATCGACTGGGACGGACATTATTGACGCATTGTTTGATCCTCGCGTGTGGATTTACTTGTTGGTGTGCACGACACGTTATCGTGGCGCGCTTCGATTTCTCGTGTTGTGTAGCGCTATGCCAACTATGTAGGCCACCGAGGACGCCTTCGTTACGGTATCTGTGGGAGCGTCGTTGATGGCAATGGCGATGCGTTTATGCGTCTTTGTAGACGTGCATACTGCTTCAATTTCGGAAAAACTAACGTCACAGGAATTGAATTGTCGCTCAATATTGTTTTCGTTGTATTGATTTTTTCTCGCCAAATGTTCGTTTCTCTTGCACCACGATCTGCACAATTCTGGCTCGTTCGCTTGGCTCCTCTTCACTTCCCATGCTCGTTGTGTGTGGCTGCAATAGAGGAGAAGAAAACTGTGTATCTAAGCGCGAGATTTTTAATGCAGATGCATCTTTTCAGCCCTTTATTTGTGACATGGACAATAGGAAAAGATATGAGGTTGCGAGGTTGTATTGGTACTTTTAACGCGATGCATTTACACGCTGGGCTACGAGAATACGCTGCAACTAGGTGAGACAATGCTTCTCACGAGCTGAGAGATGTTATATAGTATCAGACTCTAGATCATTGATAACGTACGAATAACATTTCACGGATTTCGCGGTGGGATAGAGCAATCACGCTTAGTATGTTTCTATGTATGTTTTGAAGCGCATTCAAAGACTCTCGATTTAATCCCATTACACGGGACGAGCTGCCACGCTTACACGTGAGCGTGTCGATTTTACGGCATTTCGAGGACGGGGTTGACTATTTAGATTGGGAAGTGGGCGTTCATGGAATTCGCATAGAGTTCCACAATGAGAAAGGTAATAAGCGGACGGCCACTTACTTGCCCAGCGTAGCTATGGAGCAAGGTGCGTATCTGTAACGTAGGATAGGACCAGTAGTGTGCTGACTCCTCTTATAGTCCACTTTGAAAGTTAAGCAAAGAAACACAATAACTCTTAACCCGATGTTCAGGATGGGACCAGATACAAACGATAGATTCTCTGCTGCACAAGGGCGGCTACAAGGGCCTAGTCACGCCCGACATTCGTCGTAGCCTGAAACTGACTCGCTATCAGAGCGAGGAGGTCACCGTGAGCTATCAGGACTATATGACACATTGTCACAATCGAAGATGCTAGCAACTCGCCTGGGGTCCTGCCCAAGGACCCCTACCTCCGAGACCCGCCGAGACTCGCTATAACAACGTGCACCCAACAGTCAATACGTCTCACGTCTCGCCGCACGATAACGCTCGGTACAATCCCTTGGTGTCCAACCAGCAGAACACGCAGATCGTCACGCAGCCCAGTCGCTCGACATTCATACACCCGCTACCTTTGCCCCCGCTTCCCCCGGTCATGGTGCCGATACGTAACAATCCGCCCGGTTGGTGGAATAACGCGGGTCCGTCCTATCCGCCTGCGCCGCTTCACCTTCGACCGCATCGCTCCTCAACGCAGGAAACCGCGGAACGCGGGGTACGTAAGCGAAAATGACACTGGCGACGGCTTATCCTCGCGATTCTTCACTGCTTTAAATGGTGGTGCGTGTGCCTGTGTCTCGGTGTGCACAGCCTCCCGTTTATGATACCGCGCGCGCCGTCTTGAGGATAATAACGACGCCCTTCTCGCGTACGGTGGCACTGTCTAATTGTTAAGTCGTTAAGAACGATAAGTAATAACGCGTCGCACACGTCGATCAAACCAAGATTTATCACGCGTCTCGAGACATACCAAATATTCGCGCATTGAGAATTCTATTTGCATGTTCACGCGTGCGTGAATGTGTGCATGTGAGCGTTCTCTTTTGGTATCTTGTATTAAAATAATTTCCGAAATTTCTCTAGTCGATGAAGACGACAACAAAGAAACTCCCGCTTTGTAACGGATGCATCGGATCGTCCGTTCTCAAGGGTAATTAGCGCTGTCTCGCTATATCACAAAGAATCTGTTCGTGATTTCGATGATACGCGAGTGGCAACGTGCACTTCTACGGGTCAGTGATTATGCCTAAAATTCACTGCCTGCATCACGAGGTTAACGTACAAACTGATGTATTCCTTTCTTTATATAATAAGTACGATGTGTGTAATACTCTCGAACATATGTCAATCGAAAAGTGAGACAAAATTTCAGGTTTTTGATAAACGATATTTCTGTTGATATATTTCTCACTGATTAGGATATATTTATTCGGAAGTTTAGCATAATACATCGTGGTAAAAAGACTCTCGCCTTATTGAAACAATTATAGTCACATCAATAATAAGCTTGACGAGGAGATGACATACATTTTCTGTGGTTATAATAATTTAGTTAGCAATAATTAAGGAAAGAAAAGACAACAGAGAACATAAGATGAAAGATAGATATAAGTTAGACGTAAGTAAACAAAAAAAATATGAAGATCTCATCATGAATTTTGAAGTATTGTATGATTTATATAAAATGTTACAATTCCGTGATAGAGCTGCACCAGTCGCGATATCTTATATGGTACATCTATTGATGTATATTATGCAACTTGCGCGCATTTTGCACAGATATACACAGTTTTACGGTACGAACTAAATACTTGGCAAAATCGCGACACACTTCTCAGCGTCAATTCTGCTTCTCTCAAACTGCCAGCTATTTTCAATAGCGGGCCTTACACACTGCCAATTTATTCGTTGTTGTATCTTTTATACTAATGAAATTCGTTAAGAAATAAATGAAGAAATTGTTATTGTATCTTATCTCTGTTATATCGTATTTATGTACACAGTTGACGTTGTAGTTGTTACTCGAGATAACTAATTAATGGTTAGCGAGTACTTGAAATATCGCCTCTCTTTCTTTCTCTTTCTCTAGAGTTTCGATGTTAACAACAAATCCGGCAAACTGTCACGTATACTTCAATTACGATTACATACAAAGTAATAAAACGCGAAGCAGGTTTGTCTTACATATAAGATCATGTGGCCTATGGAACTCTTTTTGTATAACGAATATGATAAAGTAATTTCGTTACACATAATTGAGCTACATGAGAAAACAACGTAATCTTATCGTATAAACAATATAACCGTCGTGATATTTTTATTGCAATTTACGTAGACAAATATTACTAGCCGAATTTCATCAGTGCGATAAAAGTACATTTGCATTTACGTGAGTTCTTGATTAACGCGATTGAATAGTCGGGCGTACATATTATGTAAACTCGAAAATCACTCATACGAATTTGCACGAATTTGCTGGGTTATCGTGCACTTTGTAACTGTAGCGAGTAATAAGCCCTTCGTACACGTCGACCTTAATCTCATCCTTTTCTCGATAATCAGCACAATATAATGCAGGATTACGTAGTGCGAAAGATAGGAATAATTTAAAGCGTATTTCGCGCACTTTACATTCACGCAAATTTACATTCACCGTAACTCGCCGTGCCAACCAATACTAACGTGATATATCGAAACAATACCGGCCGTTTTAATCGCATTCGCCGAGTTGACGATACAATGAAGACAATAGGCTGATCTTGGCATGAATTCGAATACACCGGGATGAGAAGCTGCTAATATTCGAAATTTACGTGTTAACCGCATAGGCTGCATTTATCTTGGTGGAAGGGGACGGAATAAAATTTTATATTATCACAAGAGTGATTGTAATCAATTTTCCCCGCGCTGTCGTTCGCGTTCTGCAACTTGCGTCGAGCGTACAAGTGATCAGCTCTGATGATTCTTATTGGCCAGCGAGCATTCTTATCTCGTGCCAGTGTATGAGAAAGTGCAACAGAGTATACGCGCTACGGTGGGTGCGGGGATCTATTTGTCTATACACATTTTCTAATTACACACGACCGCTCCGAGATGGCGCGGCGATGTCACGCGCGCGTGAGTGCAACGCGACCGGCGTCGCGACGCCAGGTGAATCGCGTCGTACGTGTCAGCGGCTGTGGTGTCGGACGGCACGCGTATCGCGTACGCGACAAACTGCGTACACGGCGGGCTACGTCGTCGTCGTCGCGGGATCGCGCGGTTACGCGTTGTGACAGTTGGCCGTACGCGACGATCTTCTCGACGGTCGCGGATGACTCGTGCGGGCGTCGACATATTGCGCGTAGTCAAGTGCGTCTCGCAAATCCTGACAATTTCCACGACCGGTATGTTTTAATTCCACGCGAGTGTCTTCCGCGTTGCGGACGGTGTGATCGCGCGCGTCGCGTCGTCATTCCTGGTGACGGAATCCTCGTCGTGTTACTCGCGCTCGCTGCGTCGTCGACGATGTTTGTGCCGGCTCGGAATTCTCGCAATGTGCGCGGCGTAGTAAAGCCGTCACCGCTGTGTTCACCACCCTCGAACGGCGAATTGGGGGGTGCGTGATAGAATTCGAGCCACGATCCTTCGCACTTTCCGCGGTAAGTACTGCGCGACGGACGTGGCGGGTTGGAAATCGCGAATCGATGTGTTTGCTTTCACCCGTACTTCGCCAAACTTGGTTACGCGAACCGTTAGACTTGCGACGCTATGTTGAATTGCGCGCAAAAGATGAACCTACCGCGTATACAAATTTTACTGGTGGTAAAAGTGGCCTTGTAGACTTTGATCGGAAGTATGCCCTGCGGGGTAGAAAGTTAACGTGCTTGATTCTTTCGGAATGACTCAGCTGACGAAATCTTATCAAATGAATATCAAATGCCCGAAGGACATTACCAACTTTGGTACAAGTAGGTCCGTAAAGTCTACATGATACATTGTTTTAAAATGAATCTCCAACTCATCCAATTCCGAACTCTTCCACGATAACGATTTGCGGATGACGCGGCAACTCCCTGTTGTATCAATCGTTTCTGGAAAAAGAAAAGATTTCCTCGTTATCGCACTAATTGCTCCGCCAGACACGTGTTGCTGCGAACAAGTTATCCTTCGAGAAGTGGTTTATCACTTCGCCATTTTTTGCAAACGATAGAAATACGTATAACGATAGACTGATTATCACTCGAATCTTTTTTTTCAGTGTACAGGTTGTTTCATTTAGTTTTGCCTAAAGAATCGGTGCATCTTAGATGTTTTCATTCAGCTGTGCTTTTTCTCATGCAATTCTCAGTTTTTCTTTTCATCCCTCCCCTCGATGCATATTTATTTTATCTTCGGTGTAGAAAGTGTAACACAGTGCAGCGAAAAAGAACAGAGCCTTCGTCTCTTTGTATTATGAATGAACGAACGTTTGCGCGAGGCGTGGGTCGATCGTAGGGGAGAGTGAGAGGGGACGGACGAATCTCGCGGCAGCGAAATGGCGGGCGATGAAACAGCTGTTTTGGCGTGCGCGACGCCATCTGGCGGGGCGCGCGCGCGACACGGCACGCTACGACGAGGACGACGACGGCGGCGGCGGCGGCGGCGGCTGCGACGGGCGGACGAGAGTGAGACGCACACCACGGGTCGTAGACCGTTCGTGTCTGCAGTCGGGTCGCAGGAGTCGACGGCAGTCGAGTGGGAAACATGGCTGCTGGTTGTTGCGGTACGAAGAAGCAAAAGTTGAACAACAATTCAACGGGTGCACCATGCAATGGTATCACAGTGTTGTCAAACGGTACGCGTATACGTAACACGCCGATTGTACAGCCTGAGATGGGCTTCTACTGTTTCGATGTCCTCTACTGCCAACTGCACCAACTCGACCCACCAAAACCGCCCAACTTTAGCAACGAAGCATTGTGAGTAGCCACCACTGACGTCGTCCGACGCGTTGCCACCGTCCCTGTCTCACTTCACGTTGCGTCTCTCTCTCTGTCACGCTCGCAACTTTCCCCGTGCGCGTCTTCCCCGACCCGCCACCTCTTTCCCTCCCTCCTCCGTCCTCTTCTACCCCCGCTGTGAGCGCTTTTTTCCTATTGCCGTCCTTTTTCTCCCGCCACCCACGCCAGCGCGCTTCTTTGTCGGTGGGCTCATTCTTGTCTTTGTATTTTCAACTAGCGACAGGGACGAGTGCGCTTCTTCGGCGGCGGCGACGACGACGACGATGACGACGACGACGACGACGACGACGACGACGACGACGTCGCCGTCGGCGTCGTCGACGATGACAATGCGACCTCCTGCGCGTCCTGTATTTTCAGTGCTTTCGTCGGCTCTATCTCGGTCGTGCTACTCGACCTTGTCCGTCCCGAGGTTATGCGGCATACGAACGTTATGTTGCGAATTCGTTTATCGAAATGTAAACGTCGCGTCTCTCCGCGCCTTTGTTGTTACGCGCGTTCTATATCTCTCTTCTTTTATCTTCGATAAACAGAAATCGATATTCGTTCGTTTATCGTTCCTTATTCCTTCATCATGTTCCTTTTCTGTCGTTGCAATGTTTATTGAATATCACTAAAATGCATCTTAATATTTGCTGCACGGTTGTTGCATTGCATATAGAAATAGCAGTATATCTACTGTCCATGTGTTGACTAATTGTCAGCATTCTGTATGGTTCACAACACTTGTGTATCTACTGCAGATATAGTTTAATGTAATAAACTTGTTTGTTACAGAATGAATTTGTTAATAATCCAAGCTTGATGTCTATGATTAAATCTATCAATACCTTGTTTTCTATTTTTTTTTCAGCCCCTTGTTTGTAACATGGACAATTGGCAAGGACATGAGATTACGTGGATGCATTGGCACATTCAATGCCATGCATTTACATGCAGGACTTAGGGAATATGCTACTACTAGGTAATATAGGTTTTTGGATGATTTTTGAGTTGAAAGAATGTAAGTTTCTAAATAAAATAATCGTACTTAATTTTACAGTGCTTTTAAGGACTCACGGTTCAATCCTATAACAAGAGAAGAACTGCCACGCTTGCACGTGAGCGTGTCTATACTGCGGCATTTTGAGGATGGCGTAGATTACTTAGATTGGGAAATAGGAGTTCATGGCATTCGTATAGAGTTCCACAATGAGAAGGGTAATAAAAGAACTGCTACTTACTTACCTGATGTTGCGACCGAGCAAGGTTCGTGGATGTGCACACGCACTGCATTATGTTCCGCGTTTTCCACGTACATAATCAATCTACCAAATGTGCATTTTCTTTCCGCACAGGTTGGGACCAGATACAGACGATAGATTCGTTACTACACAAGGGCGGCTATAAGGGCTTAGTCACACCAGACATTAGACGCAGTGTGAAGTTAACGCGGTACCAGAGCGAGAAAGTTACTGTAAGCTATCAAGACTACATGACACATTGGCACAACCGGAGATGCTAGCAGCTGGCTTGGGGTCCTGTTCAGGGGCCCCTACCTTGCCAAACACCTGGCACGTTTTGTTACAAAAATACTGACACAGTTAATACCACTTACCCACAATACAGTAACACTCAATACAACTCCTTCATGGCCAATCAGCAGCATACTTTAGTCATGGTCCAACCGAATCACCCCACTTTCATACACACGCTACCAATGTCACCGATTTCTTCAGTTATGTTACCCATGCAAAACTATCCACCATTCTGATGAAATTATATATGTCGCATTCTTCATTTCGCTTCATCGTTATTCTTTACAAAGTTTTGTAACGTTGAGAAATGAATTTATAGGCAGTAAAAATGATCTAATGTTATGTATGATCTATTTTACTGCTTTAATTGGTGCCTATTATAGTTTGATTGTTCAGCATTTATTTTCTTCTCTCTATCTGTTCTCTTTCTCTTTCTCCCTTGTCGCGCGATATATTCCTCTGTGAGGAAAATGCAAGTGCGTATGGTGACAATGTTCTTCCAATGTGACACTTGCGATAAAAATAAATGATATTAGCAGCTAGAGACATTTCTATAAAGTAGATCCTTGTTCTTGTATTGTACAATTTTATGATTGTTAAATTGGAAACAAAAATTAAAAGTAATCTATTTGCGTGCAACGATGGAACCAAGTTCAGTTCGCTAACGCTTTACAACTCGACTAGCCACCAATCGATATGGAATGTAAATATTACAATTAGTTTTACCATCATGCTAGGATATTCGATGGTAAACTTGTTATCTGCGAGACGAGTGTTGCGAGGAACTTAGATATTCGCGATAGTTCCGTATTTACATTTACTTGCGCCACCGAACGCAGATATAAGTTACCAACAGATTTTACGAGCACTGAAATTGAAATTTCCTTAAATCTACAGTCGAGGGGTAATTTATTCGAAACAAATTCGACAAACGGACGCGCCATCATATGCCACGTACAAAATTCATTTTCGTTCTAAGATGTAACCGTTAATTATTCATACTTAACACTTCACACACAATAACATTATAACGTCTAAACAGAATTTCTTTGCATTAATGGTATAAATAAAAGATTGTTTTTCATCATTATTCTATCAAATGTGGTCTCATATTATATACAGTAACTTATTCATAGGCATGTTGATTTTTCTTCTTCGTTTCTTAATAGTATATACAAATTGTTGTATAACGAAATATAAATGGCATGAATATGTTGTATAAATTTTTAATGTCGCATATTTATACCATTCCTACAATGAAGTTTAAGGCGTTTAAAGTTATATAGTCCAAAGTTTTATTACAGCAAAGGATTCTTTTTACGCACGCGCGCGCGTGTGTGTGTGTGTGTGCGTGTGTGTATGCGTGCCAACGATGATAACTTGATGTTAATGACTTTTTTTTTTAATTTTAATATTTTGGTATGAATTTATTTTTAAAGATATTCGAAATTAAAAGTTATTATTGTATAAATTTTTCATTCATCCGACAACAAATCATTTTAGCTGCTTAATGAACGACTATATTTAACGATCTGTAGAATGGGACCTCTACTGTAAATAAGCAATGGACTACATTACAATTAATGAAAACAAAAAAGATATATATATATATATATATATATATATATATATATATATATATATATATATATA